TCAGGCCCCACGACCGGAACCCCCCCCCCAAAAAAAAAGAATTATACCCTAGACTTAACTTACAAGTCTTCAGGTAAATTTATATAACCTCTTCTGTCGATTTCTCATACAATATACCACTGCATTGCTCATGGAACAAGAGTTCTCATTCTGACACTTCTATAGTGAAAAGTAAAGCTTTTTAGGGAACTATATGTCAATAATGCTTTTATAAAGCTTCTCTCATTCCCCCATCCCAATTTCTTCCTCATATATTTGCCTACTCCAAGAGGAAACCTCAGTCGTGAATTAGTTAACTTCCAGGCTTAGGTTTATAGGTTCTATCCTATTAGTATGTATTACTGAACATTATGTTCTTTTGTTTTGCTTTAGGTATCATGTTTGTTTTTCTACAAAAAAGTATCATTTCTACCATTGTTATATATTGTGGTGTGTGTGTGTGTGTGTGTGTGTGTGTGTGTGTGTGTGTGTGTATGTGTGTGTTACTCTGTTTAAATTTTATTTTCATTCAGATTTGTTGGACCCCCATCCTCTTTCCAGTATCTTTCCAACACATTTCTACAGTTTCTTTTCTATCCACTATGGATGGCCATCATGATTGTCTTAATTCAGTAGTAACCATGGAAACATTTTGGGCTTTTTTCTTTTTTTTAGGACAAGAGAGGTCAAGTAAATGAAGTTAAACAAACAAATATGATTAGTTTATTACTATTTAAATCTTGTTACTAATGCTGAAAAATCACTATCATTACTTCAAATGTTAAGAGGTTACTAACACTTAGTTTTATAATGGTAGTTTTGCTGACACACAAAGGAGAGAGACCATCTCACATTTTCTTTTTCATAAGCAGCTATTTTTAAAAATCTGAAAATGGTTGGTGCACTGAAGATCAAGGCTACAGAGATTCATCTTCTTGATTACAGAGAATGAACTCTTATCTAGCTTAGCTATTTCTGAATATGTTTATTTTGTTGTCTTAGCTCCCTTAAGCAATACTAATATGCCTTAGCTATTAAATATTAAAGCAAAAATAGTCTCTTATGAAGTCATACTCAAATTCTAAAATTCCCAGGTCAAAAGTGTAAGTAAGTTATTGTCCAATTATTGAAACTCTAGCTCTAATCATACAACCAAAGATAATTGGCTGTAGTCCATTTTCATTCATCTTTTACTGAATTAAAAAACATTCTGTAAGTCTCAAGTCAGTAAAGGAAATTTTGGGCAAAACAGTACCAAAGATGACTTAAACCATGAAAACAGAAGTGAATAAATAAATTAAATTTTAATGACTGATTTATTATAAAGCAATTGTATTGAACTATTGCTACTTTTGTTGATTTTATTAGAATATTGACTTTTGTAATTTTTAGAAAGTTAATAATTGACTCAGTGATAAAAAAATTGACTCAATTTAACATTGTAGGTATTTATAATTTGTGTAAATGTAGAGCATCTTTTATCTCTGTTCCAATTTTAAAAAGGAAAGAAAAAACATAGAAAATCAATAGGAAGGAGTGAACATTCTCTGCTTTCAAGTAGAAAAAAATTCCCTTTGACTTTTGTTGGGCTTCTTGTTTTTTATCTCAGTTAAAAGTATCATATAAGATAATCATCCTATGCAAATTTTCTCTTTAGCATACGATTATAGAAAAGAAAAATAAAGCAACTCCCAATTAACATTAAATTCAACTCATAATAATACACCCACAAAAAAAATATCTATAGTGACAAAATCTTAAGTTCTGAAGTGTCATAGAAGAGTACCATTTTACGAAGCCATTTTCTTGGCTATCCTTTAGTTAAATATCATCAGGTTATGGGCTTTTTTGGCTACTGATCATTTGCTCACCTAATTGCTATCTGAAGCTGTACTCAGGCTAGATTATGGTTTAGGAATACTAGACTGACTATGGGTTCCCCCTCCCCAGCAGGTATAGCTGCAAATCTCATTTTGTGTCTTGTTTTATTATACTGAAAAGTACCTTCATATCTTGTGAAAATCAGATCTTATCCTGGGTCACACAAGGAGCAAGTGGTTATGGTTTTGTTAGGCTCATAGGCCAAGAAATGCGTGAGCCAGGTGGCTGGGAATCAGGTTAGGACTTCACACCCAAGGTAACCTGATTGCATCTGAAGGAGGCCCGTGTGTTTAGATCCTAGAGCTCATCCACACTCAGCAGCTTGGAGCCAACCCTCAGGAAGGGCTTTGAGACTCTAGTGTTGTTAGGGCATGGTTCCTGTAATTTAGGCTCAGAACGAGATCGGGCAAAGGAGAGTGCAGCAGTGGGCATGCGTAATCCAACACTTTGCTACAGGATCTTGGAGGTTGGAACCGTGTTGAGGTGCAGAAGAAGGGGCCATTGAAGGACTGGCAAGTAAGGACTTCAGCTCTAGGAGAACAGGCTAGTGGAAAAAGGCAGTCCCTGTGATTAAAATTTGAATGTAACCCTAAGCTACTTGTCTGTTCAGTAGCATAATGGAGTCAAGCCACAATGAATACTTCTTGTTCCCATGTCTCTAGGTAAGATCTCCTATAGTGCATATGGTTTATTTTAGGCTCCTTCATGAAATATGTCAGACTAGTCATGGGACATAAAATACAAAAACGATATACTTGCTTGCTTACAAATCGGACCCTCTATGGAATATATAGTCAAGAACGTAGATAATCACAGACCAGGCATGGTGGTACATACTAATAATTCTAACTATATGAGAAGGTGAAAAAGGAGGATGGCAGTCCATGACCAGCTTGGAAAAAGGGTGATGTGAGTGGCAACTCTCATCATTAGGAAGGTATAGAATGTAATGGTGCTATGCATCAGAATGTCCTGTTAAGATTTGAGAATTGGTTAAGATTGGAGAGAATTCTCAAAGGGACTGAAATCAAATCTGAAGAATGGTCAGGAATAAGGATGCTACAAACACAAAATCCTACCTTCATAAATGTATGGAAAGATGCGCTCCCAGACCAATGAATTGCAATGCACTCATTTAAACCAAGTAATTCATCCTTTGTAGAAATACTCAATGCCCTGCACATGACTTGACAAACAACAGGAACTGGAATCACTTCTTGGGCCAACTACTGTTTGTGACTTGGGTTGGATTTGTTGAAGTGAACGAAGAGGAAAGGACATAAAGGCTTAAAAAAATGTAGCTCTGAAAATTGGAATAGAGAAAATAAAACAGGCTTGTTCAAAAGAAACATTTCCATCAAGTCTTCTTAGACAGCCTCTGTCCATGAGAACCAGCCTGGTGGGCTGTGTTGGGCCACCTTGGGGAAGACGGAAAACAATTTTATCAGGATGGAAACTTGACCCTGGAGTCTGGAGCACCCCAATGAGATTCTGTTTGTCACTTTGCTATTAAGATTGTGTAACAAGGCTTCTCAATAGCAAATCAAAGTCAGGCTGGTGAAGATGCACACAAATACAATAGAAACTGAAAGACTTAATTAGCAAAACATTAACTGGCATGATTCCTATAAGTTAAAATGTACATATTTGAGAAGGCTCATTGTAACATTTATACCATGTATTTTATAATACACTAATTCAAATGTAAAAGTGAATGTAAATTAACAGAAATTAACATTCAATGTGAAGCAAAATCTTTCTATCCTCCGCCACTGTAGCATTTGGCAGATTCAGGAATAAATAATCTTTTGTGGCAAGGGTATGCCTTATCAAACATATGCAGATCAGCACTAATTAATGCTAATTAAGGTTTCCTGTCTATCTAGTTGGAAAAACGTCCAAATGTTATGAAATCCAGTTAGTATGCCTATTACACTAATTGTTTTATATGGGGTGGTTCTTAATTAAAATATGTAAATTGACCTTAATTGCTATATACTAATGGGGGTTCATGTTATCTCAGTAAAAATGACAAGATGGTGAGGAGGGGTACTTAAAAGACTAATTCTGATAAATCCTTAACTAAATGACCTTTATTCAAAATTAATTTTAATTGGAAGTTGGCAAAAGAAACATTTTTTTCTGTCTCTGTTTCTTTTTAGTCTTAGGTAAGGGAAGAATGTTACTCTTCATTGTTAATACAGCTTTAGAAGCAGTTGTGGGTTGTTAATTACATTTAACAAGCAAGTTAATTTCACTGTTTACTGTTTGTATTTATCAGTAAGTTATTGATATCCTGATTTCCATCATAAGAAAAGTGGCTTTCTCCTCACTGAATATGATTCTCTACTTTATAGTCCTATATATAATATGACCTAGTCAATTTGCTACAATGTGTGTTAAAGTTTGAAGAGCCAGTAATACATGTTTTCCTTCCTGGATTGACATTTGAATTCATTTCTAGGAAAATTATGCATGCTTTTAAGTCTTACTGGAATTTAGCTACTTAGATTAAATAGATACTTAGATTAAATAGGTTGAAGTGATACTTTTACATATTCCCTAATATGTTTTTTATTTTTTAGTTGTACACCAGTTACGCTGTGAATGCTCACAACCAGTGTGAAGAAATTTAATACTTTTATTTAATTTTTTCTATGTAAACCCTAGAATTGCAGAAAAAATTACCTTTTCATTTGGAAGTAGTATATATTCCACTTTACTTTAAAATGTGTTAAAAAAAAAAAAAAAAACCAACTCATCTGTAGCCAGGCATGCGTAGCTCATGCCTGTAATCTCTGGGAGACTGATATCTGAGGATCCATGTTCAAAGCCAGCCTGGGAAGGAAAGTCTGTGAAACTCCTAATTCCAATTAACTGAAAGAAGGGATGTGACCCAAGCGGAAGAATTCCACCCAGCTTTGTGTCAAAATTGTGAGAAATTCCATTTGGTAATTCAGATTATGATCATGAAGATGATGGGTATTTGTTTTGTTTTGTTTTGGTGAAAAGGCAAGCCAATATCTTTACTCTTTCAACAGGACATCGTGACAAATGTTTCACCCAGAATCATCCGGGGTATCACTTCTGGTCCCTTGTATGGTCCGGGACAAAGCTCCTTCCTGAACATTGAGCTCATCAGTGAGAAGACAGCTGCCTATTGGTGTCAAAGTGTCAGAGAACTAAAAGCTGACTTTCCAGACAAGGTAAGTGTGATTTAACATCTCAACAAGAGACCTGGCATAAGTTGGTGAATGTTTATTTAAACATCCAATTCATAGGCTTATAAATATTAATGTGTATATTTTATGAAAGAATCTGCTGGTTGCTTTACTGATGCCTAGAAAGATAAAAAATTAAAAGAAAGAAAGCTCAAGAACTCATTTTAAAAAATCCAAACACTGAGCCTCTGTTATGAATGGGGCACCATGAAGACATCAGAAGGTTCTATATAGGCAGAGGGAGGAGGAATGAAATACTCATTTTATTGAGTTGGTTTTGATTGTATGTGGCAGATGTTCTGGAAGGTGATGACCTCAGGAAGAAATTGCAGGCTATAAATCATTTTAAATATAAAGCTAAGGCAGTGGCAGAATATCTTATGGAATTTATTTATAGCTTTTCAATGAGATATGCTTTACCAAGTTTTTCTAACATCCTATACAAAATAAGTCCACTATCCTTAAGCAGTTGTTTTCTTTTTTTAAGAACCCTACATAAATATTTCAGTAAAACTAGGCTTAAATGCAATATGGAGTATTTCTCTTCCTGGTTATTTTATCCCTGCCTCTCTCCCACTCTATCTTTCTTTCTCCTTACCTCTCTCCCTTCCTCCCTCCCTCTCTGTCTCACCCTCTTCTTCTCCCTCATTTCACCCCCTTCTCTGTTTCTTCTTTTTTTGTGCCCATCCTGAGGCTTTAACTTAGGGCCTAGGCACTCTCTGAGCTATTTTGCTCAAGGCCAGTATTCTACCACTTGAATCACACAGCTCCACTTCTAGATTTTTTTTTAATGCTATTTGTTTTTTAAAAGGACCAACTTCTCTTGGAAAGCTTTTCCCAGAATAACAAGGCTAGAAAATGGTCAACTATAGAAAGAAATATTAATATATATTAACTTATTATGCAGTATTGTGTACTGGATGATGGGCTTAATAATAATGTTTGAGCACATACAGAGTACTTCTGTTATGAAACGTGATGTTGTAAAACTTTTATATATGGTTTAAACCCAATTGTTTTTCCAACAACTTTTTAAGATAGACATCAGTGGGAAAGCTGAAGTTCACAGAAGTTCGGCCTTCTGTTGCCAAGTTACATTTCTATATGATAGAATTTGAACTTATTGTAGATTTTTATCTTTTATGTTTCTAATAATAGTACGTGTACCTACTTATGTTGCTTTTATAAAAGTCTGTATTTTTTAATGCAGTGGAAAACAGTATAGCTTCAATAGTATTTAGAGAAGCCACTGAGTTGGGGAAAAATAAATATATTTTCCTTGAAAATAACTGCTTTCCCTGGCTTGTCTTTACCTCACATAGTACTTTCTGTGGTCTGTTAGGTGGGAGTAAGATGTTGTAATAATAATGTTCACCAAGAAATGAAGTGGACAAGAAAGCTGAAACAAAACTCTTTCTTTAACAATTCCATAATTGAGGAGAAAGAAAAGACACATTTCAATGTTCAGTTTCGCTGGCGACAACTTCCTTCTCTTGTAATGCTTTTTCTTGTGTGAAAACAATGCATGCTTTTCTTGTCTCTAATTCATTCCTCACTTAGATTATACTCATGAGTCATTTTCTGTATTCTTAGAACTGGTTTCTAGCATGTCTTTTCCCCATATCAAAGGTAACACTTTAAATACAATTAAAATGGCATTCCCATTTGAACCCATGGAAATCATCTGTGCACACCTAGATATCACCCTGCTCAGAGGCGGACACCCCCCACAGCTTTGGAATTATTCTGATGCCAAACCCAATGAGCTGGACGAAAAGAGGTGATCCTTCATTTTCCAAGTTTAATTATCACCCTCACCAGAGTTTTCCCACTTCATTCTCAAGTGCTTGGCTGCCACCTTTAATGACAGGGACGGGATAATTCAACCCAATGTGGCAGCTTCTAAGCCAATACTGTATTTTTGAAAAAGAAATCGTACCAGGGGCAAGTTGGCCAGCAAATACCAGACACAGTAGATGCCAATTGATCATGACACAGAGAAGACAAAAAGGCCATCTTGAATATAAAATCAACAAAGACCTGCTCAAATGTAAAAAGCAAGAGTTTGCTTTTATTTTTTTAAACTAATCAGTAATAACCATGCCTACACTTTCTTAGCTTTTGAGGTTCCCTTTTCTTTATCTGTGAATTACATTTGGCAAACTGATCATTGTGGTGACAATCTATTACTAACAAAGTGTTTTGTTCCTAAGCTGAGAATTTTCTTTTTTTACAAAGCTTATGATGAAGTATACTGCATAATTAGGGCTTGCAGGAATCAAATGTAAGTGAATTCTTAGCAGTTGCACTGCAAAAGCCTTCTGAGTTTTACATTTTAGGCCAGAGAAAATTCTTTTTAATCAAGAAACATGCTCCACCCGATTTGAAACCACTGAATTAGTGAACAAAGATAGATATTTGTGGCCATTGGTAGCAGCAATAGTGTTAGGCAAAAGGCCAAAATTCCACAGTGAATCAGTGACTGAGGGTAGACCTACTAATGATGGCTTTATTAGAGAATTAAGAGTGAAAGAATTAATGATATGCAGCCATATTTTATTATATGGTCAGCTGATTGCTGCCTAAAGCCTTTCTCAGTTAATTACTAAAAGAAAATCCTTACACACATTTACACACACACAAATAATTAATTGAATTAAAAATTAAGTTATGAAACAAAATAAAATGGCTGGTCTCTACAAGCATTCCCAAAGGTAGTTTACTGACCCAAGGGCAACTAAATTCAGAAATCTCAACCTTATCTCTGGACTCTTTGGGTATACTGAGAAAGTGTAAAAGCCTCTGCTTTTCCAAAATTCTGGTTTAGAAAGCACAAAACAAAATGTCCCCGACTGTGAAAGATTCCTATTACACAAAAGTAAAATTGTTCTTATATTTTTGTAATATAGAGAATATAATAATAGACATTACTCTTTCATAAGAATGGCATATCGCATTCCAGGGTCTACTAAGTACTGAAATTTTGGTATGGTCTTTCACATAATCATTTGAGGTATCCACAGCAACTGTACCGAGTCTCTGATTTCTGCCTGTGCCATTGCAGCTTATCTATCATGTTTCTACGGTTTGTTGCATTTGTGATTAAGGAGTACCGATTTCAATACAATGTTACTACAAAATAAAAGTCTAACTTTTTCCTTTCACCTATGTTCCAAAAGATGAAGCTTAAAACGTCAGTTCTATCTGTACATCACACTCTTCTAGGAACCTTACGAAGAGTCTGGGTAGTTTCTCTTAGTGCAATCATTTTTAAAATGTTGGTAGTAGAGTAAATGTTCATCTGTGTATGTGTGCATGAGTGTGAAAATATGTGTGCATATTTATTTATATCACTATATGTATGCATGTATTGTTACAAAGCTCACTAATTGATTCTGTTGCATACAATTCTCATTACTTATGCTGCTTAACGTGCATCATTAATTATAAAATTACATGAGATCTATAGATCTCAGCCTCTCAAGTAGCTAAGATTATAAATGTGAGCCAATGGCATCTAGCAAGTTGCATTAATTCTGTTATTATATTTCAATTCAAAAAGCTAAGAAAGGGAAAATACAGAAAAGATCTAAATCTAATACTTTAAAACCCACAATGAATTAAATGAAAATATATACTGTCATTAAGGGCAGAATACTAAGACCTGCAAAAAAATTATTAATAAACCTAAAGGTCCTACAATGAAACTTTCTGAAATAAAAAAGGGATGGATGGCATGGCTCTAGTGGTAGAGTACCTTCTTTGAGGACAACTGCAAGAAAACTAGTAATAACTCAGGTTTGCTCAAGCAGATTAAGAGCTACAGACCAGAAAAGTGAATAACTAATAGCTTTAATTTTCCAGTTTAGCTTTTAATTACAACCATTCCTCCATCATTTCCAGAAAAACACAGTAACAAAATACAAGATACTTAACAAATTCCAAGCATGATTATCATGCAAAAAGCTGTATCAAATTAATCAAAGCAGTGACAAAATCTGTAAAGCAGCTAGATGTGGGAAACAATACAAGTCTGAGCATCATGGAATTGGAATAACATCTATAAAGTGTTGTGAGGGGAAAAGATAAAGAAAGCAGTTAATCTAGACTTCAAAATGAAGCAATAAATCTTTCAAAAATATGGATGTCTTGAATGATGTTTCAAGTATAATAAAAAGTGTTCTGTACAAAAATGGTTTAAGAAGTGTTTAAAGGCAGAAGGAAGATGATCACTGAAGAGAACAAGACTTTATAACTAAGTGGGTAAGAATTTGATTTTTGATTTTATTCTCTAATTCACTTTAGGAGAGAATTCTTTTTTTTGGGGGAGGGTCCAGTTGTGGGGCCTGAACTCTGGGTCTGGGTGCTGTCCCTCAGCTCTTCAGCTCAAGACTAGCGCTTTACCACTTGAGCTACAGCACCACTTCTGGCTTTTTTTTCTTTTTGCTTATGTGGTGCTGAGGAATCGAACCCAGGGCCTCAGGCATGCAAGGCAAGTGCTCTACCACTAAGCCACCTTCCTGGCCCCTTTAGGAGAGAATTCTTAATTTAAGTAGAACAATTATATGGTGTGGGGTTATAACATACGTAAAGATAAAATGTATGATAACAACAGTGTGAAAGTTCTGAGGGAAGGAATGAAAGTACATCAGTTTCTAGTACCTTATATGAAGTTTTATATTACTTAGGCTGAATAAAAAACTCCTCAGAGTATCATAAAGAGTATTTTAAAGGTACTGTAAACTCCTTACTCAACCCTTAAAACAATACAACCAGGACTTATAGCTAAAAAAGCCAACAACAGATATAAAATGGGATCCTACAAAATAATCATTTTAAGATTTGAATTTCATGACATTTTTACAAAGGTAAACATTGAAGGCTCATTGCTTAATTCAAAAACTTGAATCTTTCTAAAAGGAGGCATAAGGGTTCCTTTACCTTATGAAGAGAAAATTTAGTGTGTGTGTGTGTATTCTTAGTTC